CACTCAAGTCAGGACTGATGTTCTGTCTCAACTGTTTTAATTTAATCTGGAAGTATTTTATTATGTATCTTTTCATTCTCAACCATCTATGTGCCTTTTTCAGGAGAATTCACTATGCAATATTTGACCTTTGTATTTTAAACTCTTTTGGGAGAAGGGTGCATCTGCATCCCCCGAAATGGGGGCAATGGGTTCATAAGTAGCTGGCAGAGCAAAACATTATGACTGCTTATTATTCATGTTGGCACATAGGACCATAGGATTGGCACTCATTTAATTTCATTTTTTGAAGTCTTGTATACCTCTAAAAGTGATAGAGCCAGCTTTTTACCTAATACATCTGTTGGAGGGAATGCCAGGAGAAAATGCAGTGCCTTCTTCTCCCTCCCTAGCTGTCTCACATTTCTTGCCTTTGGCATTCAATAACCACAGTTCACCATACTGATGAGTTCCTCAATGTGCATTTTAGACATTCTTCCTACATGGTGATCCTGTTTTCAGGAAAGACGTACATTTAGAGGCAAAGAAAGAGTGATGTAACTGCTCAATTCCCGAAGCTTCTCTCAACACTGGGAATGAAAAACTCAGCTTTCCCTCTACCAATGCTTTCACATAGCACAGATTGTTGCCCTCCATATTGACACTGCAGAGCTGTAAGGTGTGACCTCTTTCTCACTTTGCACCAGGAGCAGAGAAAACAGTGAAAACAGACTGTTTTCACTGAGCTTTCTTAACAGGGTAGAAGTCATAGAGACATAACTAACACTGTTAGCCAGCCTCTACTGATCTATGCTTTACCCTCTGACCTGCAAATTTGTCATCTGGACTTACTAGCACTTTATGTTCTCTAAATGCGTATGTCCAGTTAATAGCAGGAAACACTGAGTTTTCCCTGCCTCTTGATCACTTGCCCTTTACACTTGAGAATTCATTAGATAAATGTATTCATTAATTTCTTTGTTCCCTGTGGCTTTGTCAAACGGTTTCTATAGTGATACTTTAGTCATATTCACAGAGAATGTGTTTAGTTAATTTCGGGTTATTTTCACTGTCTGCCAGCATGCTCATTTACAGATACTTTTCATTCATTTTAACATATCCTTTGCTTTTTTTTTTCAGTGAATATTACATTAGCTCCTGCTAGAATTCTGTGCTTGTTTTCATACTATTTCTTTCAAATGTGTGTACTACAAGGAAGAAAAATCCCTCCCATTTAGATCACAGTCATGTCTTGGAAGCCTAATTGTATCCATTTCCAAAGACCATATCATCTCGCTGTATCTCTGTCATCCTTCCTGACAAAGCCCTGACAAAAACCTGCAAAAACTTAGGTTATAAATGAAGGCCCACTGGAGAGCCATTAGAAGTTGATTCTCCTTGGAGCAGCAGGCCTGCAGTCTCCCCTTGGATCAGGACACCATCCAAAATAACTCCTTGATGTTGAGAGCCCTCCCTTTTTAAGTGAGCGATTGCACATTTTGGATCATTTGCCGTAAATTTTAAGAATCAGAAGTGGTAGTGACAAATCCATAGAATAATTTAAGTTGGAAGTGACCTTCAAAGGTCATCAAGTCCAACCCCCCTGCTATGAGCAGGGACATCTTCAACTAGATCGAGTTGCTCTTACACGTGACATCCGAAATGAGTAGCTGATGTTGGTGGAGCTTTAACTGAATTTGAACAATAATTTTCATTTAGCCTCAATTTATTGGTTCCTTGACAACAAGGACCACAGTGAAAAAGTGACAGGCCAGGTCCCCACTCTGCACTAACACGTAGCACCCCATTTATTATCACCTTTCCATTTTCAATTAGAAGAACCAGAAACGGGCAGGTGGATCTTGCTACTGTTCCTCAAATTTAAGTATTATTATGCTGAAAAAGAACTGACTGTCTTTAGAGAGCATAACTGGTTTGATTTTTTTTGTGTGCACACATCACCTCTTTAAGCTTTGCTCACCCCACTAACATAACAGGTCCTAGGAAATCACACTGACCAGGGTGTGTGTCTTCTTGGCTGTCCTGCTTTCTGCTGCAGGAATTGGGTCTGCTAAAATATAATCAAGAAAAAGCTCTGCATATGAAGCTGTCAGTGTTCCTTAGTTCTTTTCAGTATGTTAATTTCTTTTTTTAGTACGTTTACTACACCTCATTGAAGTATCTCTTGAAAATATTAATCCTGTTTTAATAATGGAAAATAAAGTTTAAGATGTCTTTATTAAAATTGTCACGTAAGTTATCAGGAATAAATTACAGGAGTCTTTTGCTTCCAGATATTAGCTCACTGTGGCTAAGCTGCTTCTCCTGCTGCCAAAACATTCTTCTTCTGATGCCTATTCTAATCAATAAAGTAAAGCTGGGGACTATTCTTTAGCCCTGAGGTCAGGTAGAACAAACTGGCTGTGTTTATAAAGTACTTAGGTACCTGACCCCGGGTGTCCTTTCAGCTATGTTTAAAGCTAATATTTTGAGTATGGGGTTTTGGTGCAATTTTCATGAAATAACATGAGAACTATACTGCAACTCATCCGCATGATGAGTATTTCAAAGTAAAAAGCCCGCTGGAATAGCACTGCGGCGGAGCATTTACAATGACAGAGACAACCCGTGCACAGGGTCCTCTTGTAGCATACTGGGAACAGTTAACAAACAATGCTACTCATGGGCAGTGCCGAGGCATTATGAAGCCTGAATTGGTTTGGTAAACACACGAAACAAGTTATTAACTTAGCACTTGGACTTACTGGCTGAATGCCAATTTTTGTGTACATCATGTGCTTTAATGATAGATTAATCCATTATCAATCACTTTATCCTGGAAGCGATACAAGTTGTTACTTCAGACGGTTTAACTCTTATTTTCATTATGTTAATTTCATAAGAGTAATATGATTATATTGCCTCTGTTAAATCACTTAGCCAGTGGAGTAAGTTGCACAGAGCAGTTGTATATCGCAATCGACTTTATTAAGTGTTACATATATATTCCTTAGTTCCCCTGTGAAAGCTCAACTTTTTCTACAGCTGAAGTTTATTCATGTTCTCGAAAAATCCTTATGGTTTCTATTATGGCTATCCTTCATGCAGATTCATGGGTGAATAGCAGGATGTTTGAATTCTTCCTGTGATTCCCTATTAATATTATTCTTTCTCTCAAACTGTACCAAATTATCACTTGCCCAACCATAAATGGGATCTGATTGATTGTTGGTTATTAACAGGACACATACCTTTTCTCCTTTTAGGCCTGCTTTTCCTTTCAGACCTGGCAAGCCCTGAAGTCCATTTTTGCCCTAAAAGAAAGTAATTTTTTAAATTAGACATTATCGTTTTATGCAGGTTGAAGAGACCGTACAGAGGCTGGACATAAGGGTGCTAGATTCTAACTCTTGTTTTGCACAGTGGGAGGAGATAGGGGACCTTCACCTTTGCAGCTGGCAGTGCACAAAGTGTGCTTCACCAAATCTGCTTTGCCCACAACAAAGTGGCAGCGAAGCCTGTTTGGAGGATACAGATGGAAAGACTTGGCAGTCTTCATTTGGATTTGATAGGTGAACCAGACAGATCTGATGACAAATATTTTGAAAACGATAATGCTCCACTAGAACAAATAGGGACAGGTGTCTGAAAAGTCCTCTTCAAATTTTCTGTCTCTTAGCCATTTACTTATCTAAGAGATAAGAAACTCTTCATTTATTCTGAAGTTGCTGAGTATGCTTTCAGCAGGTGAATTCTGGGCTAGAATTCCTCTTCCCTAACAACTTCCAAATTATGGGAAAATGGTCACTTGGAAGAAGCCTACTTTTAATTTGATACAGAAGTGATGGTCAAAAGAGAGTATTTGCCACTACTGTGAACTGCTGCCCTGAGTGCATCAAATCATATCATGGGCATTAGCCTGTTCCCACCTTCTACTGAAATCCTTTTTGCCTTAACCCACCTGAATATATCCAGCTCCTACCAAGTAGAATGCTCCATGACAGGGAATGTGTGGTACTACATAGCAATTTTAGCATATTTTCCATTCTAAACCTCACTAGTCAAATTAATCTCAAATAATCTTTCTATATATGTTCACCTTTTCTACACTTAACACACACGCCCTTCCTATAGAGGCTGATCATTGGCTAGAAACTTCCACTAGCTTAAAAGTCAGTGCTATTATAAAGTGGTGCTATTTGTAATTCAGTTAGGACACAGATGCATGAAGTGACAGCAACAGGAAAGAGTAAGGAAACAAAGAAGCCAGGTAGTCAAGCGTCTGCAGAGGACAGATGCACAAACAGCAGCTGAGACATTTATAGAATATGAATTTGTTATTGTGTGGGTTGCTGGGCAATACTTCACTGTGGAGGATGCATATACAATCTGTCAGCAGCTTGTGGTAAACTGACATACGAATGGGAGTCACCTGGAGAGGGGTGGAAGGAGCATTATAGGAAGATGACAGCAAATGTGAAAGAAGAAAGGGTAAAATAGAGGACTGCAGAGACAGGAAAGTGCAGTTGAATTACTGCATAAGACTTGAGGGCTGAGAGGTACATCTGGAAAGTTAACAGCAGCTGAGGTTAGGAGCATGCAATATGGCAGCATATGTGTCTGAAGAGTCAATGAAGAACATTGTTTTGTCCTGGAAGAGGTCTGGGTCTGAGTTTGCCCTTTTTTTTTGAAGTTCCTGTCTGAAACCAAACCAGACTCACCAGATCTGGACTCTTGCAGAGCTGCTTATAGCATGCCATGTCTCTTTCTTTATAACTGGGAAATCATAAATTTCTCTTAGAAACCTGGGTCCCCCTCTCTAGGCAACCTGAGGAAGTCAACTGCAGCACCAGAGCTGCCATCTAAAGAGAAGACAGGAAGAAAGCACTTTGCTGCTTAAGCTTCCATGTAGCTGAGTCTCTGATAAAAAATGTTTTGTTTTGTTTTGTTTTCTTCAGTTAACCAAATATGCATGAAAGAGTACTTACGGGTAACCCGTTTTTGCCAGGAGTGCCCTAAAATAAAACATCCTTGTTAGACAAGTAGATAAATCATTGTAACAAAGAAGCAACAAAAGAGAAAAACAATGAACTATAGCTTGATGTGTCATGTAGTAACAAAACAAACCAGAACTGTAAGAAATACTATCTCACAGTGTGATCTGTTTTTCACCTCTGTTTAGAATGATACAGATTTATAATTCTATATGATTTAGCATTATAGAATTATCATGGAATCGTAGAACGGTTTGAGTTGGAAGGGACCTGCAAAGGTCGTCTAGTCCAATCCCCGTGCATATCCATGTTTTACTGTTTACATCTTGTGCTGATGGTTCAGAAAGCTATGACATATGAAACATCCTGGATATACAGAAGCTACTGAAGGAGGCTTGAGAGTTCTGAAGCCCAGTAGCTTTGAACATGTTCAAATATGACAGCTGGGAGGGTGGTGCAGTACTGCAAAAGCTGCCCAAAGAGCACTTCTCTATGAATATTAGCACATCAGCTGTTTGCCTTGTGCTTTCTGATGACTGTCTCTCATCAACACTTTTATAGCTGCTGACACATCTGCAAAGCAGATACGACACTTCTTGATTTGATTTGGTGGCTCTAAAACCCCATCTTGTAGAAGTAAGGCACTGTGTATGAAGTTGTGAAGTTTCAGCCCTTTATGCATGTGTGATGAGCGACCCTTTCTAAAATACATGAATTCTTTCAATAGACAGAAAATACTCACGGGCTGACCATGTTGTCCAAGTTTCCCTGGAGGTCCAGGAGGTCCTTGATCTTTTTTCTCCACATCTTCTTCTCCTGGCATTCCTGGAGATCCTGCGGACACACCCTCTCCTGCCTGACCTCTCTGGACCTGTACAATACAATGTGAAGAATGAAAAATGTGTTGCATTGCTTTTCCCATTTTTTTCCTTTCTTCCCTCTCTCCTAGAGCTCCTGCTTTGTTCAATGCAATCAGAAACCTGTAAGGCACCATACAGATAACATACTCCATTCAGCAAAGGCAGTCCACATTAGGGATCATTCATGCAAGTTTAAATAAATTGCTCACTGAGATGGAAAAAACCAAGAGCTGGTTACCCACATGCAAGTGATCATGGCCTAACTTCAGATCTGCACAGATCTGCAGAGTCTGAATCAATAATGTAGGTTTGAAAAAGACCAGTTTCACAAACTCAGTCTGGGAAAAAAATCGTGAATATTAAAAATGAATGTTTAGGAATGCTTTAAACAAGTACCCTGAGATCTACAACTCTAACAAAAGAGTTTTATATATCCATTTTGGTTAAAAAAGAAAGTTATAGAAGAGGAACTGAGGAAACTGATAACAAAGAGTAAAAATGGACAACCAGCAAGAGCAAAAATTGTCTAAGGAACAAAATAAACCTTTTCAGTTGTGAAGCTCAGACTCTAATACATACTTAAATTAAAATCCAGTATAGATGATGGAACATTTAAGTCACCGTTGTATCATATCTTGAAACAAGCACTAGGATTTGCTCACATTTTACAGCAGCAATGAAATATTTTGAGTTTCTTTAGTAACTAATGAAGCTAAGAGGCATGCAATACAGTGAATATCCAAGCGTCAGGTAGGATGACAGCTTTCAGCAAAGGAGCTGTTAGCTGCTTTTTTAAAGATCTTATTGGGTTTTGTTTCTAGGAAAGTTCCCAAAGACTAGAGGTTATTTAATCTATTACCATTAGAGATCTTTTTTCCCATCTGAAAAAATGTTAGAAGAGAACACAGATAACTAAGATATGTGTAAGATCATAAGATGAGTGAGATAACAGGATTGTTGATATAGGTCGATCCTGAAAGAAATTCCTGCTTGGACACTTACAAGACAGCCTATCCAGGATTTCTGGAAGGCATCTCTGACAGGTGAAAGATGTCCAGATACAGCCTTTTCTAGAGTACTGCTAAAAAAAGTGTGCTGGCAGCCTAGAGAAGCTGGGCATGGCTGTAAACAACATTTATTCATATAACTGCTCTGATACAGACATGAGTAATACAAGAATGTCAAACAATTTTGCTGACTTGCTTCAACTTTGCTCCTTTATAAGGCCATCTACTAGGAGTAAAAAGGTTGTTCAGTCTAATATTTTATTAATCAAAATATCTTTTTCCTGTGAATGCCAGGAAAGCTGTTGGTTGCTTTTTCAGTGGATTTTTTTTTTCTCTCTAGGTGTTAAATGTGTGCAGCTGTCAGTAGGCAGCATACCCTGCTTCTTAAAGAAATAACTAGGAGTTGCAGATACTTCTCCAGTGCAATCCAGGAGATGGAATATAGGATCAGCCTCTTGGATGGTAACTTGTGTAAGGTTTGGTTTATAAAGAGATAATTTGCACAAACTATGCATTTTAAGATAGTCTGTGGGCAACTAGGAAATCCATTGATACACATTTTAGACATGGATTCCTCCAGAGTTTACTGTGTTTTAGAGTTTAACTTCTGTTTGGACCACCTGATAATGAAGCACTGTGATAATGAACTGCTTTTATGCACTTGGTACTTCACACAGAAGCACTTAGTGAGCACTCAAAGGGCCTAATTTTAAATCTGTTTATATACCACTTTCACCTGCAAGGCATTTACTAAGACCAAGCTGCCTGCTTTTAAGGTACAAAAACCATGGGCTTTTAAGGCACAAAAACCATGGGCTTTTAAGGCAAGGATTTATGTTGGTTATTTTCTGTGTTTCTCAGTTTCTTAAATGCAAAACTGAAAGAACAATTTTGGTTTGTTAGTCAAAAATCTCAAGCCCATCTCAATGGTTATAGATCCCAACTTCTGCATAGCGTCTGCGTTATTGTCTGATGTCATGAAAGGACATTCAAGAATTTAAAAAGTTGCTTCTGTTTGGCATGCTTCTAAGATGGACTAGATAAAGGTACCACCTCAGAAAAGCGTTTAAAATTCATATGTTTTCCTGCTCTTGGAACAAAAAGATAAGGCATATTATGAACCCATTATACAGACCTCCTCTCTGTTTACTCCTGGCAAAGTACTATCACCAGAGCCATCTTCTTCTCTTAAGGTTTTCTGTGTTACAGTGGTGGACTCATTGTTGCCTTGTTCAGTTTCCATGACAGCTGAATCTAAATAGAATAATCACTTATTAATGAGAGACAGAGCAAAATAAACCTGCCCAGAGCTATCTATGAGAGCACAGATCCTGCAAGTTGATTGAAAAAAAAAGAAATTATTTTGATTATGACCAAAATATATTCCAAATATTAGTATTAGTTGTCTAATAACTCTGAAAATTTTAGAAGGAAAAGAAAAAAAAAGAAAAAAGTGAGAATAAAATTATAAACCAGATGTTTATTTTAAGAACAAAGACTGTATTGCATCATCTTATTTGACTCAAGCTCCAGTCTAATGGTTGCCTACTTTTCATCTCTGTAACAATAAAAATAAGAGTACAACAGGTACTATCTGAAATATGTATAAAATTCAAACAGGGACATTGTCTTTGGACTTTTTATAATAACTAGTTCTACTTTCTGTTTTCTAGGAATGTGCTGAAATTGCCTTACTCAGAGCATTATTCCGTGCTCTTATTGCCTTGCATGTTTAACTACAATGACTGAGATAAGCACCTAAATGGAGTGAAAAACGGGGGATGTGTTGGCTAGTGGTGGTTGTTGCTACCACTTAACTGTTTCTGCTATTAACAAATTGCAGCCTAACAGACTGCAGTTTCAAAGACCAAATGTTTGATGTGCCGGTTCTTTTCTAACACAAAGGATGTCCAAAACCATAGGATTTTTGATTCCTGTCATCACCCAAAATATAGCACTGGCTTTTCATACACAGGGAAATGTCAGACTCAGATCTAGAATGTAAATGACCACCCTCCACCCCCCAAAGAAAATGAAGTAGTGCCTTGCTCTTTAACTGCTGCTTCAGAGATTTCTTCTGATCTGTGATTTCCGGAGAAATCATTTTCTTCCAAATAAGACAATATAGTTGGGGGGGCTTCCACTGGCTCAGCTGACGTATCTTCAGGCTAAAGAAAACCATAAAATCCCAAAGAACTGTTTAGACAACAGGTTTATCACATATTTTAAAGCAAGAATCGGTAGATTACCTTGCTCAAAGCATAGTAATCACAACTACTGCATTTATGAAGCAAAACAGAAATCCATATCTGTCCCACTTAATATCTTGCCATTATCTGTCCTTACTCTTCTACTGCCCTTAGAAATATTATCTGTCATTGCTACCATAAAACCTGAAGTTCATTGATGGCCAATTATACACCCTCCTTCATTACCAAGTTTCTAATTTATTTTGTCTTCTATTTCATTTTTCCTCTTCACACTACACATCTAGTCAAGTTCTTGAGGAAACCTAGCACAGTACTTTTGAACTCCTCTTTTCCAAACCAAGTCATGTACACCTGTCAAACACATAGAGAGGGAATAACTCACAAGGAATATAATGTTATCAGTTCAAGTCTAAGAGCCTAGAGCTGGCTAGTACCCACCCTTCCCCATGCTGTCTGTGGGTGGGCAAGAGGCAGACATTTAAATAATCTGGTATCAGCTGCATGCAGGAATGCAAAAAGCTTACTCCCTACCAGGATTAGAGGCCTGGTCAAGTGCTGTCCCAGTGTAATCAGATTACGTCATGCAAACCTGCATTTGCCATCTAAATAAGATTTAAAAGTGGTTATGTTGTCATGGTAACCCTGAACAGATTTAGTGGACCAAGCATCCTGGGGTTGAACCATATTATGATCTAAAAATTGGCATTATAAGGCTTGCTGAAACAGTTACTATTTATTGACATGTTGATACGGCCTTTTGAATAATCTATTATATACTGTAATCATTTTCTGTGACATTTTTCCTTCTGGGCATTGATTCTAGCCTGATTATGGAATTCAAGTTAATCATAAGCAACTTCTAGGTCTTCTGAAGCAGGCATGACATCGATGTATTACCATGACATTGTCAGATCTTGAAATAACACTTTTGGCATCCAAGACTGATTGTATATATTTGGAAAATCAAAGGAAAATGTCACATTTTTACTCCCTGGGAGTGGTATGTCATGATAAACAATAGCTGTTACACTTTCAGGTCTCTGTTCATGTAAATCATTTTTTAGTAATCTAACAATAACACTTATTGAAACAAATTTTCTACCTTTTTTACTCTGCAGCAGTGAATGATATGCTGAGACTCAACATTCTTATGTGCTGGTTTTGGCTGAGATAGAGTTTTTTCCTTGTAAGAGTTAGTATGAGGCTATGTTTGGGGAATTTCAGCCGAGCACAAAAAGTAAGAGAGAATATGATGTGATAGGAATCTCTAAAAGCACAAATGTTATGGTGAGAAAAGAGCAATTATTTACTCTGTGCTCCAGTAGAGTAACATCCAAATGAGAGCTGCAGTTAACATGCGTAGAAGGGCAAGAAAGAGATGATAGTCCTTCACAAACATTAAATAAGCTAAGGAACCCTGCAGCAGGAAGATGAGGATGGTAAAATTCCCTTGGGTTAAAAAAAACAAAGCATGAAATTCATGGGCAAAAAACTCATTAGAGGTCCACCAAACACAGATATGCTCCTGGCTCAAGCATTTGTTGAGATGTAAATTGTTCCAGAGTAAAAGAGTATTCTCAGTAAGTGCCATATTTATGTTCCTAATCTGTTGTTATACTCTTCCTAAAGTACTGGCTGTTGAGTTGTCAAAAATACCAGATATTTGATCTGGCAAGGTGCAATCATTCTTATGGCTGGGTGCCTGTTTTTCTCATAGGTGCCTTTGGAACTAGCCACATACAAAAAAACTAGTGGCAAAATCCAGACCTCATGATCCAAAAAAATAATATTAAGCCAGAAATATAAAGCAAATAAATAAATTTACCGTTATAGGGAGA